AGGACGATGAGATCCCCAACCAAGCTGCGGTGGTTTGTGGGGTCTGCGGTGCTGATGGTATCTAGTGGAGTGCTTGGAGTCCTCGATGAGCACTAGGAGCATTGATTGGCAGAAGCACCCAGTCGTGTGCCAGGCGATCCGTCACACGCTCTTTGCAATATTTGTCCTCATAAGAGCAAAAATAATCATTCTATAGTTGCACTTATTGTGTAGATATTGCTATAAGCAAAACTCCAAGGGAAAAAACAGAAAATGTATTGTTGAACAAATACTAGGTTTTGTTTTGGGTCTGAAGTTGTAAAGTTGCCAAAATACTAAAGGGGTTAAATATTCTGATATGCATCCTGTCTTTTTTAACTGTGTCCCTTGCCCAGCTGTTTTTACAGAGTTTAATAATCAATGGGTGTGTGCATCCTTCACTGTTTATGTGAATTAATTCTGTGATTTAACTTGGCAAACCTCTTATTTAATGAGATTTCCTTAGTGACAAGTATATCCAGTTTGCTCAATCTATGAGTTTCTGATTTACATTGACTGATTGCCTTCCCTTAAATAGAAACTATGGGGGTAAACGTGACCTGCTATTTTCTAATGCATTGTATAGATCAAATGTTCTATTCCCCCACTGGCCATTGACAAGTGACAATTCAACCCTGGTGAGTGTCATGAAAATACTAGTATTGTGTGGCAAGTAACTTTTAGGTCTGGCTAGTACTGTAGGACTTAAAGTTTGAATCTGTGATATTATAGAGAATTCACTAAAAAAAATTAATAGATTAAACAAAAAAGGTAGCTTAAAAGTTTCCAGGAGAAGCAATGCAGTATTTTGTGTGCTGGCCTGCAGCTGCAAGCAGACCTCTCTCTTACCTTGTAGAGCCGCTACAATCAAGAGACTCTCATTCTGGTCTTTTGGGTCCTTTCCTATCCCATTAAGGGATTTTTCCAAGAACCTAAACCACGTCATTGTTTTGAACTATGAAACACTGCACATATAGATAATATACTAAGGCTACCCCACAACAAAAGTTCCAGGATGGCTACTGTTCTGTGTACAGGCTTACACTCATTGGCTGACAGTGCTCAGTCGATGCTCTCAACCACTGAATGAATACTCAGCTGGCTTCTGCAAAAGCTATGTATGATTCCGTCCCATTCCAGGGGCATCTGTCTGGCAGGTAAAAGGTATACGATTGCAAAACCTCTTGCTTTTAGTCCTCTTTTTCAGCAGTCTTCTTCCATTCTCCCACCACTTTTTTTTTTTTAACCAGGCACCCTATCAGTCCCAATTGGTAATGCACTTTCCTTATGGGACCACTACCATAGTTTTCAGACTCCTTACCTACTGCATTAGCTTATTGCAGTTACTTATGGCAGGGACGCGCTACAGTCCTAGAAAAGAGGGGACAGGAAAGCCAAATGTGCACCCATCACAGCTCCTGATTGGGCAGCTCCATAACGCAGGGCCGCACTGCATATTTTGGCTCAATGAAAATTAAAAAAAATAAAATAAGTCAGAGAGCTTGGGGGAGCATTTGCCTTGGAGCCCCCCTCGTTTCATGCTGGATCCACCACTGGGTTTAGGTGGTGGGGAATACTTGGTTATTGCTCAAACTGCTTGTAAACAAACTCCTAGTACAAACACAAATTGCTCTAGTGGTTACAGTTTAAGTTAAGGGTAAGATAAGGATAGGCATACAGTTAGAGTTAGGAGGAAAGGGTGTGGTTAGTATAGGGTTGGTACTAACTATGAAAAATGTAATTCAGATCCTAAACATATTAGACATTTACCAATTAGGAAAGATATATGAATCTATTTTGAGTTCTTTTTAATTAGTTACACTGGATGTGTAAAAAAAAGTACAGGGAGTGCAGAATTATTAGGCAAGTTGTATTTTTGAGGATTAATTTTATTATTGAACAACAACCATGTTCTCAATGAACCCAAAAAACTCATTAATATCAAAGCTGAATATTTTTGGAAGTAGTTTTTAGTTTGTTTTTAGTTTTAGCTATGTTAGGGGGATATCTGTGTGTGCAGGTGACTATTACTGTGCATAATTATTAGGCAACTTAACAAAAAACAAATATATACCCATTTCAATTATTTATTATTACCAGTGAAACCAATATAACATCTCAACATTCACAAATATACATTTCTGACATTCAAAAACAAAACAAAAACAAATCAGTGACCAATATAGCCACCTTTCTTTGCAAGGACACTCAAAAGCCTGCCATCCATGGATTCTGTCAGTGTTTTGATCTGTTCACCATCAACATTGCGTGCAGCAGCAACCACAGCCTCCCAGACACTGTTCAGAGAGGTGTACTGTTTTCCCTCCTTGTAAATCTCACATTTGATGATGGACCACAGGTTCTCAATGGGGTTCAGATCAGGTGAACAAGGAGGCCATGTCATTAGATTTTTATCTTCTTTTATACCCTTTCTTGCCAGCCACGCTGTGGAGTACTTGGACGCGTGTGATGGAGCATTGTCCTGCATGAAAATCATGTTTTTCTTGAAGGATGCAGACTTCTTCCTGTACCACTGCTTGAAGAAGGTGTCTTCCAGGAACTGGCAGTAGGACTGGGAGTTGAGCTTGACTCCATCCTCAACCCGAAAAGGCCCCACAAGCTCATCTTTGATGATACCAGCACAAACCAGTACTCCACCTCCACCTTGCTGGCGTCTGAGTCGGACTGGAGCTCTCTGCCCTTTACCAATCCAGCCACGGGCCCATCCATCTGGCCCATCAAGACTCACTCTCATTTCATCAGTCCATAAAACCTTAGAAAAATCAGTCTTGAGATATTTCTTGGCCCAGTCTTGACGTTTCAGCTTGTGTGTCTTGTTCAGTGGTGGTCGTCTTTCAGCCTTTCTTACCTTGGCCATGTCTCTGAGTATTGCACACCTTATGCTTTTGGGCACTCCAGTGATGTTGCAGCTCTGAAATATGGCCAAACTGGTGGCAAGTGGCATCGTGGCAGCTGCACGCTTGACTTTTCTCAGTTCATGGGCAGTTATTTTGCGCCTTGGTTTTTCCACACGCTTCTTGCGACCCTGTTGACTATTTTGAATGAAACGCTTGATTGTTCGATGATCACGCTTCAGAAGCTTTGCAATTTTAAGAGTGCTGCATCCCTCTGCAAGATATCTCACTATTTTTGACTTTTCTGAGCCTGTCAAGTCCTTCTTTTGACCCATTTTGCCAAAGGAAAGGAAGTTGCCTAATAATTATGCACACCTGATATAGGGTGTTGATGTCATTAGACCACACCCCTTCTCATTACAGAGATGCACATCACCTAATATGCTTAATTGGTAGTAGGCTTTCGAGCCTATACAGCTTGGAGTAAGACAACATGCATAAAGAGGATGATGTGGTCAAAATACTCATTTGCCTAATAATTCTGCACTCCCTGTATTATAAGCAAAAATGTACATTTTTATTTTTATCCAATTTTTAACATTTTATTCACATGTAATGTTGCTTGGGTATACATTTAGGATGTGATATGAGAGCCCTTTCTGTCCTGTAAAAAAAAGATATATAATATGTATGGGGCACTTGAAGAGGAGCCCCTAAATTATGGTGAAACAAACCTATTGCGTGGACAATTGCATCCATCTGTAAAGGGAAACTATAGTGCTAGAAATACAAATCTGCATTCCTAGCACTATACTTCCCTCTGCCCCTTCCCCGCTTACTCTCAGCAGTGTAAGTGTTAATAAAACCTTTGCTCATTTGATTGCAGTGTCGAGCTCCTTCACCGCTGAGCTGACACTCTGCTTCCACTGGCGTCACCTAATGGGGGGACACTAATGCGCATGCGTGACAAGTGCTGCGAGTGAATTAGGCCCTCCCTATAGGAAAGCATTGCTGCAATGCATTCCAATGAGGGAAACTGTTGACGCTAGATGTCTTCATGCAGAACGTGAGGACGTCCAGCGTCAGTTAGGCATCCTAAAGTCAAAGTAATTAAAAACTGGGTTTCTAGTGCACACAGTTGAAAAACGGTAGGCAGCTCACTGGGTGTTTGAACAAGGTTCAACAACAGAAGGGAAATTAAAGATAGCAGACATGCTGATAAGCTGTTATTAGCATTAATGAATAAAAAAAACCTTATGTCACTTACCTGGGTCAAGCGCTGTTGTCCCTCTGCTCTGGCTCTTGTCTGCCTTCACTCCTCCCATGCCCACATCAGCCGGTGGAGGAGACCCAATGTGCATGCGCGGCAATGGCTGCGCTCTCATTAGGATTTCCCCATAGGAAAGCATTATACAAGGCTTTCCTATGGGGATTCCCGTGACATTGGAAGTCCTCATGCATAGCGTGAGGATGTCCAGCGTCATTTAATCATCCAAAAGTCGCCTATCCACCAGGAAGTTCCTCTAGTGACTGTCTGGTAGACAGCCACTAGAGGAAGCGTTAACCCTAGCAGGTAATTAAGGCAGTTTATTAAAAAATGCAGTTAATTACCTACTCAGGGTTAAGGTAGATGGGACACGTCACCCAGGCCACCTCAATGAGCAGAAGTGGTCTGGGTTCTTATAGTGTCCCTTTAACACAAAGCTTGCACAGAAAACAAAAATATATTTTGTGCTGTTGGCATAAAAGGAGTTAAACAAAGACTGTGTTGTGCTCACTTTGTAAGCTGTCTTTTTCTATTTGCGTTGATTTTACTATATTCTTCTAAAATTCAAAAATAATAATAATTTATTTTTTTTTGTGTACCAAATTATTCCTATACCTGACAACTTCAGTCATTTTCATAAAAACAAAATGTTAAAAAAAAATTGTTAAATATGTTGCTTCCAATGTATGAAGCCTGCCTTTCCTTTCTGAGAGATTTAGCAAAACTTGTCATTTTTTTTAAATAAAATAAAACCCGAAATTTGACACATTCTAAACTATCCGGCGCCGAAAGAGTTAACAGCCTCTGCTGGTGGTGGGTGTGACCCTGGCCCCGCCCACCGGGTGACGTTTCATTTGGTTGCTGTATAAGCGCTGAGCCCGTGCTGCAGGAGTGAGCCGCGCGAGCTGAGTTGGCATCGTCTGGGACACAGCAGAAAGGTACCGTATCATGGAGGGCGTCAGCTTCCACCGCCCCCCATTATTTCCTATGGGCACGTGCGCTGCGCGCCTGATCCTCATGTATCCTCTTACACAACTTACACTAAGCCTGGGACCCTCCTTCCAGGAATAGCCCCTGGGGTTCTCCTCCTCCTCCACCAGCAATACTCACTGCCAACTTTCCTCCCACCAGCTTTACTGACATGCTGCAAATATTTGCTCCAATTCTGGCAATCCAGATAGTTGTGTAGGACTGTCTATCCAACAATGCTCAGCCAGCCACACATCATGGGAGATGTAAGTGAGAAGTGTTTTAGAATGTGAAGGTTACCTAACAGTACCCAAGTATGTTTGATAGGAGCTTAGTATTTGAGCAGGGCTCAGTTCTGATTGGCATCTGCAACTTCACTCTCCTGGTATTGGGGACTGTTCTACATCGCAGCTGGTGGGTCTGGGGCACTTGTACCCCCTTACATGGGCACACAGCCAGACAGACTGCATCTGATCCTGCAGGAGAGTCTTACTAACACAACAACTACTGAACTTACTACTGCCATATGTTCAGTTCTTTAAAACAAATTCTAGCTCTGAGTGTAGAAATACATGATATACTCCGCATACATTGTGCACATGTTGCTGTACGTTATTACCATTATCTGCAAAGAAAGTTTACTTTTCTTGCATGTTATTACACACCGCAGTTTTACAAGTTTGCTGATTATAATTACTGATGAGCACATGAATTAGATTAAACGTAGAAACACATGAATCATTAGAATCTTGGCAATAATATTAAATCCCATTTCTGATAATCTCAAAGTGGGCTGATTGACTCCGTGGATTAAATTAATTTTTAGATTAAAATAATGTTGAGCTTTTTGGGTTGGGCATGGAGTTCTGGTACACATTTTCTACATATCAGCTATTTTTTATTTTTTTTGGCAACACAATACATTTGTCAAATATAAAAACAGAAAAATAAATACAAACGTATCCACTGAGTGGTACGGTTCTGGTCGGTATGGTCTGGTACGCTATTTTGAGTGTTTCCGTTATGAAAGTGGCCCATAAAACCGAATCAAACTGCACCATTCCTGGGCCCCCTTCAGATATAGGTCCATAGGAAATTATACGGTACAGTTAGGGTGGAACTACTGGCATCACACTTGACATATGCACGGTCACCTTAACATTAAATATATAAAGGTCATTGTCAACAGCAGGCCAACGTTGGCCTGCACAATTACCATCCTGCAGTTTACAATTTAACCCCTTGACAATGACCCACCCCCATATAACATAATACCCAAACATTGTAACATTTAACTTGACATTGAAACATAGTTAAAACAGAACAAACGCCATTTGTGGCGAAACGCGTTTATGGACTTTTAATTGTGTATTTTATATATATTAAAGTATATTTGGTTACTTTTTAATCTGTGCCACTTATCCTTTTTATACACTCTAATTTATTTACTACCTGGCATTTTCTCAACATCTCGGACTCCAAGAAATCCTAGGTGGGGATCAAACCACCAGCGCTACGTCAAGGAGCAGTTGTTCTGCTCCCGCCTTGTGAGTACCCATTTTATTTTCATTTATTTTATTACCAACATTGTATCCAGTGTACACTATTGGTTGTTTCTTTCTACCCGAGTGTCTGATACACCACTGACGGAGGAAGTCCACCCTATATCCCATAAGCGGGGATCAAATCGCTGTACGCCTTCTATACTAGAGCAAGTTTAGCTCTTTCAAATGTGAGTTTTATTTTTCCCTTCTTATTCATTTTTTAGTGTTTTAACATTTTACACTATTGGCTCTCCACCATTTTATCTTCCATATACGAGTGGATTCTCACGGATGAATATATAAAGGACAATTGCTCCGGATCAAGCACGGATAGATCCCATAACCCCAAAGAGCATACTCTAGATAAGACTTTTCTTATTTTACTACAGCTATTTATTTGGACTATTTATAACTTTCATTTGTGTATTGGCGCAGCCCTTATCTCTTATTCTCTCTCTCTCTGACATTGAAACATGACCATTGCCATCAAAGGGCACCATCCATTGCCACCAAAGGGCACCACAAGTGTAGGGGCATACCGAGACACTACCTACGAGCTCGAACCTACCAAACCAGTCCAAAGGCCTACCTATTAGCCCTGAACTCCAAACTTTTCCCCCATCTCACTCTTTTCTCCCCCCAACTTTACTCTCCATCCCCCGCCACATCTCAGAGCTCGACTCCTCCAACTTGTCTGGCCTAATGTAAGACCTGAACCTCAGCGACTCCCACTCACAATCCTTTTTACCTGATCATCACCCAAGCCTAGTCTCGCCGTTTCAGTAGCCACGCCAATCCTAAAGGAATGGGTCCCGAATTGGCCCGGGTCCACTCCCAACCTTGCCAATGCCTTCCGAAAAACCCAGAGGAACTGGAACTTCGATAGCAAAGAGCCGTCCTCATGCTTAAAATATGAACCCCCCGGCCATCGCCCGAACCTCCCGGAAGGCCGCTGCGCACTTAACCAGGCACGTTCTCCCACAACGTAACCAACGTTCCCTTCCCCATTACATCCGTCTTGGACCGCCTCAGGTTGATCACTACCTTGTTACTCCACACTTCCACATCCACCGCCTGAAGCCCCCCGGGCCCTTGGCGATTGCTGCTGAGCAGCTCGCTGACATGAAATGCCCCGAAAAAGGCGAAACTAAAAACCACGGAGAACAGCGTAACTTCGTATCCTGAAAAACACACCGCGGGCAGCACCCGGACCACCCGCTGAAGCAACGCGAACGACACCGGTCTCCTAGAATCCACTGACACCTTACCCCTCCTGAAACCTTTCAGTGTTTGCCTAACAAGAAAATGTTTGGTGGCATCCTCCCAACCGTTAAACTTGAACAGGAAGGCTAACGCTGCCAGCTTACACCCTACTACAGCTGCCGAAGCCCCTGCAGTGACCGACCTACACAAGAGCCACAGCAGCGCGTCCAGCCAGGCCTCCCTTGAGAGCTGACCCCCTGTCTGTTGCACCAGCTCGTCCCATTCCCCCCACACCTTACTGTATGCCGCCCAGGTAGCGGGTGCCAGGGAGTCCCTGATCAGTCCGCCAAGCATGATGTCCCGAGCCGCCACATCTCGTCCGGGCATGACATCCCTTCCTCCCGCGCGCCAGGTGCCACCTGCCGGAACCTCTCCCACTGTGAACGAGAACGCATCAGCAATAACATTCAACAGTCCCGGCATGTGGCGTGCCCGAAAAAACAATATTAAAGCGCATAAGGAACAAGACAAAATGGCAAAGAAGCCGCACCACCGGGATAGAGGACGCTGATAGCCCGTTCACTGCATCCACCGTTTTGCATCTACCACTGCCATATTGTCCGAAAAGAATACCACCTTCTTATCCCTCAACTGTGGACCCCATAGTGACAGCGCTACAACTAACGGGAACAACTCCAGGAACGCCAAGTTGCGTATCAGCAGGCTGGTCTTCCAGGCCGCTGGCCAAGTTCCCGCGCACCATTGACCCAAAAAGTATTGACACTCCCCGACGCGTCCGTGAACAGCTCCTGGGATGACGCCGCCGGCTCCCGAAAGAACACCTTCCCGTTACAGTCCCGCAAGAATTCCCCCCCCCCAGACATCCAGATCGGCCTTCATTGTAGAAGAACCTTTTTCTCAAGGTGAAATTGATAGTTTCTCTTCCAAAGCACAATACATCTGTCCGTATATGGTAGTCTTAAAAAGCATTGTTGGAAGTACAGATTGTACCGTGTGTCTCTGGTTTCTTAACTAAAGTCTGAATTTTCAAATGGATTTGCAATTCTTTTATGTACAAACAGCAAATCAAGTAAAAGTTTAGTCATTTCAACCAAGCAAGCATAACTTAATCAATACTGTTTTTTGTGTCTAGTTAAAAACTCTATCTTTCACATGTGAATTCTATATATTAAAAGATATAATTTACTAAAACACCTTGTATATACCATATTTCTAATGGATCAGTCACATCTGGTAAATAAATGCATTTGCTATTTGGCAAGTGAATTTTATGGAAATCTAGACTAGATTTTCCCACTGGAAACTCTTGCAGCTAATAGAAAAAAAAAAAAGTTTTTTTTTGGAGGGGAAAATGAAACTCTCGGCAGCCTGAGTGTTAAGTTTGTGGCACACTAAAAGTAAATACAGAATGACCATAAAACCTAATATGGGGCATACCTACTAAACAATGAACAGCCAGTAGTGAGAGTATTAATACAATTGGAATACATTGTGATCTTTCTGTGTTCCTTCCTTATTCCCCCACTGCCCAGCAATTGGGGAATTTAAATGGATTAGCAACAGGCAGCCATTGCTAAGGCCACATTCTTTCTTGGACATACTTAAAAGGACACTATAGGCACCCAGACTATTTCAGCTCATTGAAGTGGTTTGGGTGCATATTCCCAGGTCCTTTAACCCTGCAAAAGCAATTGCCTTCGTGGGTTAACTGGTAGACGGGCACTAGCGGGACTTCTGGGCCGTTACGCAACTTTTGGATGTACTCCTGACATGCATGAGGACTTCATGAGCATGCGCCTTGGGTCTCCTCTGGTGGCTCATATCGACAGGTGGAACGGCGCCAGCGCTGAGGGACATAAATGCTGGACTGAAGTTTTTTTTTTTTTTTGTTTGTTTTTTTAACCCCTTCTGCATGGGGGAGGTGAGGGGTGCGTATAAGGGGGGAGCTATAGTTGGTAGTATCGTTCCCCTTTAAATCTTCATCCATTTATGAAATCATGTTGCATTCTTGTAGTTCCACCCTCCCTGTTGCCAAACAAAAGTATTTTATGTCCCCAATCAGGACCTGTTCTCATGACCCCCGATGGCACTACTCCTCCCCCATAACAGAACTTCAACACTATTTTTTTTTTTTTTTTTTACTTTAAATTCCATTCCTCTGTCTCTCTGAATAGGGGATGGATTTGGCACCTGAATGTCCCCAGCTGGTGAATTACTCTGTAACTGCTACAAACACTGTTCTCCTTGGAGGAAACATATTTTATGTGGCTCTACAAAGGACAAAAGCCATTCAAATGGCTAAATAAGAACTGTGCATTTGGTACAAATGCATTTAATCCTGTGATTTCAGGAAACGAGAACATCTCACATTCATGCATTGAGTAACTTGTACTGATTGCACTGATCACCCAAGCATGAAGTGAAGGGCACTGTGATTCTAATTTCAACTGCATACTTCAGCCCATATTTCACTGGGATGTGATAGAATGGAGTGATCACCAACAACACGGTGAATAGTACGGTTTAATTGTTATGGTATGCTATATTGTATACGTATGTGCACTGAATAACCAGTAAACATGAATGTACTAAAAGATTAGGTACTTGTACTAGCCTGCTTTTTTGAAGGGGGGTGTGGAGGGGGAGAGTGTTATGTGACAGCATATTTTCTACTATTTTCTCCACACCGCCTCCTATTGCTTGACAGCAGTGATACGCATTGTTACTGACTGGTGCCCTATTGTGTACCTCCCAAGTGCCCCTATTTTTATTTTGTTTTGCTTGTGTTGTAAATCATTATCTAATATATACATGCAGTTGCCCTTTTGACCAAATGCTTTTTTTTTTCCTTTATGCCACACATATTTTCTTTACCCTTACCTAGCAAGAAAATGTGCTTAACTGGCTTTTTCTAGTACTTCCTGGCTGTATTATATTGGCTGCACTGAAGCGGCTCTGTTCACAAAAATACATTTGATCTAATCTACTTTCTATATAGCTATCTATTTGAATCTTATGTATTTTTTTTTTCTGCGTGCTGTAGTTTTTGTAAAATACATAAAAGCAAGAACTATTTTTCCTATATATAGCAGTCAGGTTGACAAAACTTGACAATGGCTTAAGCTTAAAGTAAGGTTCTGTTACCGTTACCCATCCTTTTTTCCGACAATCCATCAGTAAAATTAATTCCGTAGAAGGCCAATAGTAAACATCATGGACAGAGGAGAACAAAATGGCTGCTCCTAGGTATTAAGCTCCCGCACAAGGATGGTTTAATCCACTTCGTAGACATAGTTAATCAATATAAAATAATCCCCTTCTCACATCTACAGACCCAATGCGGATTACTACATAATGAATTGTTTACTTAAAAAGTTTTCTTATCTAGATCTATTTTACCAAGTTACATCTTTGAAGATTTTATATTAATGACTAAATATTTATCAAATATTTTACCAGGATGGATACATTGAGATTTCTCTTGTTTTCAAGTATGTCCTGGGTCTTTGTCCACAAAACATTGCATTGTTACAATAAAATACAATATTACAAAAATATATAAATTTAATACATAACAGGTAATAAATATATTTACACATGACCGGTGCATTCTGTGCTGAGGTATATTGCCATAGATCTCTTAATAGATTTTAGATTGAATGAAGATTTGACTGTCCTGAGGTTATTCCATAATTGCGGTGCTGTAGGAAAAGGATTGAGCCGCTTTATTTTTGTATTGCGGTATGCTAAATATCGTGGTAGTACTGGATCGGAGGTTATCTGAGGTGGGAACAGCCAGGGAGAGCATTCTACTCAGGTAGGGTGGGAGCTTCCCAGAAATGCGTTTATGCACAAGGCTGGATAGATGAAGAGTGCGTTGGGATTCCAGAGACAGCCAGTTTAGCTCTTTTAACATGTATGCCCCTATTCCTAAAAAGGAAACATATCTGAAGAGTTCTTTCTCACAGGAGGAATGGAGTACGGGAATAGCTCTCGCCACACGCAATATTCATTGCATAACACTCAAACTACATTATAAACGAATCTACCGTTGTTCTATGGTTCCCCAACAAATGCATAGAATTTCTAAATCAATTTTAAATCTTTGTTGGAGATGTCTATCAGATATAGGCACTATTTATCATATTTGGTGGGACTTCACACTGCTGAACGTATTAAAAACAAACCTATGTAAACTACTCAAAAATTGGTTCCCAAATTTTCATACTATTTCTCCACAAATGTTTTTGTTTAATATTGATTTTCCTATTGGTAACAAAATACAGAAGAATTTAATTGTTCATGTTCTAATGGCCACTAAGATCTGTGTAGAAAGACAATGGGGAGGGGGGAGGGGGAACCAGAACCACCAAACTGGATGGAAGTACAAAATCAATTAGAATTTCAATGTAGAATGGAATATGGATTCTATGCATCGAAAGGGGAATTGGATAAATAGACAAACCTGGCATCCCTGGACACAGTATAAGGAATCTCAAAATATAAACTGAATTATCTTGGGACTCCCCTTAGACCACCCCGCGACATGGTTTTCGTCAACCCGAAGCGAAACGTGTTTCATTTTATTTTTCTCTTCTTCTGCCTCTTTCTCTTGAATGAAGTATGAAAGGGATGTTCTTGCATCCAGGTAAAATCATTGAATAGATTTAATAACTAAGGATCATCAATTTGAATGTAATGATGTTTTTATTTTATCTATACTCTATAATTCTAAAATATGTTTAATATTTTGTATTTGTAACAACTTAAATATCTTTTGAAATAAAGAAATATAAAACTAAAAAAAAGATCCCGCCAGTGTCCCTGTTGTCCAGTCTGCCTTTATAGAGCTACAGGTATTGAGGATGTGAAAACGGAGCAAATCTGGGGAAAATGGAGTTACTAAAATAGCTACCAGAAAGAAGGGCTGAGTTTATATGGTTCCAGTGATGGTGACTACTGTTGTCAATAAGTATTACTACCAGCACTTGTTTGCTGTTTAAAGGGTCACTCCATACCTCTAAAGCACTTGATTCCCCCACCCCAATCTAGCAGTCAGAAGACCGGTTCTGTTAGCTCAGTGGAAGTAATTGCACAGATTACCTGCTTTGCAAAGGCGTCTCATTGACCTGCATTGGGAAATCTTGATTATAAGGGTAGGGCTTGCAAAGGTTGCAGACGAGATTTGGACAATGGAGAGCCCCTTTAAATCAAATTTGACTTGCTGTCCATTTCACTTGTACTCCTTGCTGCAGAGTCCCATAAGGTCATAGTTTCACTCAACTTATGTAAACCAACCCATAAAACATATTTGGCTTATTAAGTATTATAATTTAAATGTATGAGTATTGAATAATTTACACACCACTAATCGTCATACAATGAGCCATATTTATAGACCATACATATTAAATTCTGTAGTACAATGTGAATTATCCATGCCATAATGTGATATATATATATGTATTGGGTTGATGGAGTGAGGGGTTTTAGTCCCTACCAGAAACTTTACATTTTCTATACAGTAGGGTTCGGAAACATGTCCTTTATTTTTGGTCTGCTCTGCTCTTATTTAGAAAAGGAGAAAAAAAAAAAACACATCTGTGTTCTTGTCCAATCCAATGCCCAATTAATTTGTGGCGAAATATGCATGCGCAGCAAAACGCCATGCTTATCCAATAAAATTATTTTTCCATAAGGTTTGACTTGTTTCTCATAGGGGAAGAGCATCTAGTGGCTGTCAGGAAGACTGTCACTAGAAGTGTATTGAACCCTGCAATAAAACATTCCAGCTTCTACAAAACTGCAATGCTTTACATTGCAGGGTTAAAGCGACCGGGCACAGCACCCAGAACACTTCCTTGAGATGAAATGCCTATAGTGCCCCTTTTAAGCATAAAACCGTGTATGTTTTCTTTGCACTACATGACACTAAATAGACTTAACAAGAGAGGGTCATTTTAAAAATGTTCTAAAAACTCAGGTCAGTTCACAACACCGCATCCACATTTGGGGGAAGAAAAGGGAAACAAGAAATGGGTCTGATGAGCAATAGTTCTCCATGTGCCAGTTTGGGCTATATGTCAGCAGTGTAACCACTTATCTGTAGCATATTGTCTGCTTACCTAGGTGTGTCATGCTTTACTGTTTTCTACACGTAGAGATAAGAGTGCGCTAGCTGACTTATTTTTTTCTAAATAACACTGGCCGCTTAGAATTAATCTACTAACTAAAATGCCCATCTTTTTTCCTTCTTAAAATTTCAAGATTACTGTAGCACATGACATAAGGGACAAATTTGGTCTTTTAATGTACAGAAGGCAGAAATAACACTTGCTGTATAAAGCGATATAGTCTACCAATAAGATGTTAAAAGACAATCCATTTTATGGAAAAAGTTTGGAAAATCTCACTGAGTGGACGCCTGATCGGACTGCATTGAGTATTCTCCTCCTATTCAAGTTAAATTATTTCTTTTTTTCTTTTCTACCAATAGGACAAAAGTTTCAAACCAGTTGGATTCCATGGTGACTGTGGCAATGTTATCCACATTTACAGGGCAATCCAGGCTTTAATTGATGATTTTTTTTATTCATTACAAAAACAAAGATAAAATAAAGAATTATACATTTTTTTAATTCCTTAATTTCATGCAAATCACCAAATATTACATCATACGCATTAAGATTTAGTCTTTCCAGAAAGCACCTCGGCCAATTAAGCGTTTTGCATTCTGGGCTAAGGAGTCTGAAATATGTTGAGGAAATTGCTAAAATGACAATGAAGGGGGAACTTATCATCATGGGTGACTTTAATCTTCCTGGTGTGAACTGGAAAACCAAATTAGCTACTTGTGCCAGGAGCACACATATTCAAAACTCCCTACTTGGATTGTCTCTAAAACAAGTCATTGAGGAACCAACTCATAAAGAGGCCATTCTAGATTTAGTGTTAACAAATAAAGATTTGGTATCAGATATTACTGTAGATGAAAGTTAAGGATCCAGTGATCCGTCAGTGTTGTTTAATATAAGAACAGTGACTGAGTCACACCACACAAAAACAAAAGTTTTAGACCTTAGAAAAATAGACTTTTCTAAAATTAGAATATGTGTAAATCAGTCATTATCAGACTGGATCAATTTAAATGGAGTTCAAGAGAAATGGGATTATTTAAAAATTGCACTGCTGAAGGCAACAGAAAATTACATTAGGCTTGTCAGTAAAAGCAAGAAACCACTGTGGTACTCCGCAGATGTGGCCAAAATCATTAAAAAAAAAGTTAGCATTTAGTAATTCTAAAAAAAAAAAAAAAAACAGAGTGAGAAACACAGAATGATCTGTAAGATTAGGCAGAAAGAGGCTAAGCAAGTTATAAGGGCTTCCAAATCTCACACAGAAGATGAAAATAGCACAGTCAGTAAAAAAAAAAGGGGGCCAAAACACTTTTTAGATACATAAATGAGAAAAGGAAAGTAAAACCAGGATTAGTGAGATTAAAAACAAAAGAAGGAAGGTATGTAGAAGAGAATAAAGGTCTAGCTGACTGCCTCAACGAATATTTTTGTTCAGTATTTACAGACGAAAATGAAGGAAAGGGTCAGTTTGCCTCAGTTGAGAAAAAGGATAAATGAGTCATTTATTACACATGAGTTTACAGAGGAAGAGGTTCTTTTTCAACTGTCAAAAGTAAAGCCAAATAAGTCAATAGGACCTGATGGAATACACCCAAAGTTATTAAAAGAGCTTAGTGGTGTACTAGCAAAACCATTAACAGATTTATTTAGCCAATCATTGTTAACAGGAGTAGTCCCAGAAGATTGGAAGTTAGCGAATGTTGTGCCCATTCACAAGAAAGGTAGTAGGGAGGAGTCGGGCAACTATAGGCCAGTAAGCCTTACTTCAGTAGTGGAGAAAGTAATGGAAACCATGTTAAAGGATAGGATTGTCGAACATCTAAAATCACATGGCTTTCAAGATCAGAGACAACATGGATTTACTTCAGGGAGATCATACCAAACTAATCTTTATTGATTTTTTTTTGTTTTTTTGATTGGGTAACTAAAATAATAGATCAGAGTGTTGCAGTCAGGACCGGTGCAAGCCTTTTTGCTGCCCTAGGCAAAAAATATTTTGCCGCCCCCACTCATAAAGACTAACACATGCTGACTCAAGTATAAACATACACTGATCCATGCAAACTACCGCACACGCACTGACCCATATACACACTCTGACCCATGCAGAGACACATATACAGACATACACTGACTGATAAAGATACACACTGATCCATACAGACTGACATACACAAACATACTGATTCAAGCAGACTAACATTCTCTGACACACATCTTAACTCCTTTGCTGCTCCTATGCTCATCTTGCCTGCGCCTGGCTTCCTATCCCTTCCTCTCTCTTAACCCGGGCCTCTGCTATCCTTCCGAACCACTTGCCCCCACGTACATTGGAAGGGGTGGGAGTGAGAGATTGAAGGGTTCTTGCTCTGCTTTGGCATTGGATGCCTCGGAGGGGGCCTGGCTCTTAAGGCTGACGTGGATGCCGCAGGATCGGTGTTCTACCGGGCGCTAGTGAGCGTCAATGTAAGTTCTCCCTAGTGCCCAGTAACCGGGTGGCTGCGGGCCGGCGCAAACTTGATCATAAAGTCAGGGCCGGCGCCCCTCTAAAGCAGGCCTGCCCTGGGTGCAGTAGACATTGCTTACCTAGAATTCAGTAAGGCTTTTGACACTGTTGCACATAGGCTTATCAATAAATTGCAATCTTTAAGTTTGGATTCCAATATTTTTGAATGGGTAAGGCAGTGGCTGAGTGACAGGTAACATAGGTTTGTAATCAATGGAGTATAATTGAAGCATGGGCTTGTCACCAGTAGGGTACCTCAGGGATCTGTACTTGGACCCATTCTGTTTAATATTTTTATTAGTAATATTGCAGAAGGTCTTGATGGTAAGGTATGTCTTTTTGCTGATGATACTAAGATATGTAACAGGGTTGATGTTCCAGGAGGGATAAGCCAAATGACAAATGATTTAGGTAAACTAGAAAAATGGTTGTGGCAGCAGACATTTTAATATGGATAAGTGCAAGATAATGCATCTTGGACGTAAAAACCCAAGGGCAGAATACAGAATATTTGATAGAGTCCTAACCTCAACATCTGAGGAATGGAATTTAGGGGTGATTATTTCTGATGACTTAAAGGTAGGCAGACAATGTAATAGAGCAGCAGGTAATGCTAGCAGAATGCTTGCTTGTATAGGGAGAGGTATTAGCAGTAGAAAGAGGGAAGTGCTCATGCCCTTGTACAGAACACTGGTGAGTATTGTACGCCGTACTGGAGACCGTATCTCCAGAAGGATATTGATACTTTAGAGAGAGTTCAGAGAAGGGCTTCTAAACTGGTTCATGGATTACAGGATAAAACTTACAAGGAAAGGTTAAAGGAACTTAACATGTATAGCTTGGAGGAAAGACGAGACGGGGGAATATGATTTACATAAAGGGAATCAACACAGTAAAGGAGGAGACTATATTTAAAAGAAGAAAAACTACCACAACAAGAGGACATAGTCTTAAATTAGAGGGGCAAAGGTTTAAAAATAATATCCTGAAGTATTACTGTACTGAGAGGGTAGTGGATGCATGGAATAGCCTTCCAGCTGAAGTGGTAGAGGTTAACACTGTAAAGGAGTTTAAGCATGCGTGGGATAGGCATAAGGCTAACCTAGCTATACAAGACGAGGCCAGGGAGTAATTAAAGAATATAGAAAATTGGGCAGACTAGATGGGCCGAATGGTTCTTATCTACCGTCACATTCTATGTTTCTGTGTGTTTAACCCAGGGCTGTAAGGGAAAAATTAGGGTGCAGGATCGGGACAAGTTTGTATAGAATTAAGGCCTTAAAATCTTGTCAATAATGTGGCCGGAAGTGGGTGCAGACGGGCTAAACTCTATGAAACACTGCATATACAAATTCCAGGCAGCATGACCACTTCAAAGGAATAAAGTGGATATGGTGTTTTGAGTAACCCATTCCGTTTATTCAAATCCCTTTTGCAAAACGAAAATTATGCTTACAAATTTATCATAATTTTAGTCCTCTGCTTTAGTGACTTTTTTAAAGCCGTAGATTTTCTTGTGACTGTGGGAATGAGTACAGCTGTATTTTTGTCTGTTAATTAGAAAACCAAGTTTACGAGACTTAAGATAGGGAATTAGGTTTACCTGTGTGAACTGCAGTAAATATTGCAATTTGTTATTTGCACACTCTGTACAAGGCAAAGGCATTCAGTTTCAAGTTAACCGCTTACAGAGAAAAAGGTGTGAATTCCTGGTATCTGATTAAATACCTTCTCTGAAAGAAGATATCTGGTTCAGTTACCTCGAATTCTACTTGTATATTCCATTTTGACATATTTTTTTTTTATATAGTGCTGCAGATGATTTGAGACCTGGTTCAAATGAAGAGCCTTTGACGACCATTGATATGTCTGACACGTGCATTACAGGGCCACTTGTACTTGTTCGTAGGTTATGGTGCAAGGGGGTCCCCTGTTTATATTTCTTTGCGTACATTTGGTTATTGGCTAACATTAACCCCTTAAGGACTGAGCCAATTGTACAAGTTGTGATCAAAACGTTAACAAAACCGGAATTTTCGCTACATGTCTGTTCAACCATAATTCACCTCTTTCATATTAAATGCACTCACACTTATTATATATAACTTTTGTTCAGGAGAAATAGGGATTTCATGTCACATACAATAGTTATATATGAAACCTAATTTATTATGTATAAAATCTAAATAAATGTGAGAACTTTTGAATTTTTTTTAAGTTCTGCGTGGCATTTTAAGTGTGAATGTCATAATGCTGTTACTTTAATAATGTACACATATTTGCATTCAGCGATTGTCACACTAGTAAAACAGTACCCCATGTACAGGTTTTATGGTGTTTTGCAAAATAATAGGGTCAAATATAGCACGTTACATTTTTCTGTATATACACATTGAAAAATTTGCAAGATTGTTTATGTTGCCTTTGAGACCATATGGTAGCCTAGGAATGAAAATTACCCCCATGATGGCATACCATTTGCAAAAGTGGACAACCCAAAGTATTATAAATGGGGTATGTCCAGTCTTTTTTAGTAGTCACTTAGGCACAAACACTGGCCAAAGTTAGAGTTTATATTTGTTTGTATGTGAAAAATGCAAAAAACTAAACTGAACGGTAATTTTGGCAACATAACCAATCTGGCAAACTTCAATGTAAAAAAACAAAAAAGCAAGCCTTATATTTGACCCTGTAACGTTAAAAAACAAACAAAAAAAAAACATAAGACCTGTACATAGGGGGTACTGTTATATACCGGAGACTTTGCTGAATACAAATATCAGTGTTTCAAAACAGTAAAACCTATCACAACTATATAGTCGGTGTAAGTGCTGTTTGTGTATGAAAAATGCAAAAAAATGGCACTTTCACTGACGATATTGTTGTGATATGCTTTAAAACACTAATATGTGTTTAGCGAAGTCTCCTGAGTAATCCGTATGCCCCATGTACAGGTTTTATAGTGTTTTGGAAAGTTACAGGGTTAAATATAGGACTTGCGAATCAAATTCTCTGGACTTTCTGCCTGGGTTGTCGGGCAAGTCCCTCAAATTGTAATAATTAAGTGACTTAATTATGTAAAAATATTACATAAATAATATATGTAGAATTTACGTGTGTGTGTGTGTATGTGTGTGTGTATGTGTGTGTGTGTGTGTATATATATATATATATATATATATATTTATAACATAAACCTTGTTGAAGTGCACTCACAGGACTCGATACTGTTTCTAATCGTGCTTATTTATTGAAGCATTAAAATTTCAATACAGGCAGTGTCCACGTTTCAGTCCTCCATGGGACTTTTTTCAAGTCCCTTCAACAAGGTTTTATATGTTACGAGGTCGGAGTTTGCACCTGGTCAACAGACCAGACCGGGAGCAGTGAGTGCGGGACACGTCATTCTAAGTGTATCTTAATATTCATACAATGTAATATATATATATATATATATATATATATATATATATTTTAAAATACACTTAGAATAATTTATGTATGTGTGTATAAAAGTACTTAGATCGTTCTGTGCAGCCCTCCGGCGTTTAGAGCCATTCCGAAAAGGATGGCATAGAAAGCCCACCGTCCTTAAGGGGTTAATACTGCCATAGGCCCACCCCTCAGTGACCGACATCAGACTAGGTAATCATCAGTTATTCAGGATTTTTTTCAAGGTGAATTTGAAGTGAATTGGCACTATTAAAATTGTAGGATCAGGAATACAAATATGCATATGTTTTCCACTGTGTGGTAAGGTAATGTTCTAATTTAGCCATGAATCAAATACATGGAAAATAGCTTACCATGGCTGTGAATCCTTCCAGATGGCTATAAAATATAGGCATTTGGTTATACATTCAGGTTTACAATCTAGTTTGCTTTTAAATTTTTTTTTTTTTTTTTTTTTTAACATATTGCCTAATGCCCGCTTTTTTTTTTTTTTTGTTTCAGAATGTATTTGCTACGTCATAATATCACGGCACGGGCCCTGCGAAGCCTCAACAAATCACAAAGGTATAATCAGGTGTCCACTTTCTGGTGTGTCTCTTTGGGGTATAGAATGGGGTTCTGTGTAACCCAATTATCTGGTGTTTATTTCTGCTTTCCTACAAAGGAAATCTTCCTTTATGCATAGTGTATATAGGACATGGCTTGAAAAGTTTGATGTTCAACATTTTACACACACTCCATTACATGCAGTTTTTCAGAGTTACTGCTAACAGAAGTGAAAAGTGGGTTATTAAAGGATTTACAGGGCATGTATACATTTAGTTCTGCCCCATTTTGAGATATAGCATCAGGTGATGGTTCCTGTGGATGTGTAACCTTTCAGACTGCCCTATAACTCCATGTTGAATCTTTGATGTTGGTCAGGAGGAAGAGTGGGGGGTGTGTGTATTGCGGAGGTGGCAGTTGGTCATTGGTATAGACAGAAGAAGTATAGGTATAGCTGGAGAGGAGTGATAGTGATACTGTAGGTTGGCCAGGCACTGTTAAAAATGGATGCATTCCATATTCCACTCCGCAAATAAAGAGTGGGTGGATTGAAAATAAACATTTCAAAGGACTTGGTAAGTGAGTGCAAATGGTAGAACATTTTTAATATACATGGCAGACAAAAATAGGAGAGCCGCCTAATGCATTTTGTGTCTAATGTGGCACTCCTAGCTCGCTGTAGTGGTTATGGTTCTCGGAGTATTCTTTTAAAAGTGAAAGTAACCAAATTACATTTTAAAATGTAATTAATAAATTAGAAATTGACTTGTGGACAGCTGGGGACTGAGAGGACTAAGATTAAGACTAGGTGGGGAAGCTCCTCACTCCGCGAATACAAATAGAACTTGGCTGAGCTTCCTTCAGAGCTCCGATTTTTACCAAGAGGGGGACTACTCCCTATTCCACTCCCCCCCCCCTTCTTTTCCATTTTCCTTTTTTTAACCTATTAATATGAGCAATCACTGCTGATGGGGTGAGACCATGACCGCCCATTTAGGGCTGTGAGAGGAAAAGGTCCAAAACATAGGGCTTACTCCACGACGGTTAAAAGTTTATAAAGTAGCCAAAGGTTACTAGGTTTGTTTGTTATAATATAATGAAAAAAGTTTTTTATGTCATCAATAAGCAACCTACACACCATATAGAGACGAGGGTAATAATACTGAGCAATGGAAAATGACTTGTTACCTAAGTTGTGAAAGGCTAATGACATGTAATGTATAACCCGTTACGACTCTGTATTGCAATGACATACCAAAAATAAAGAATAAAAAAAAAAAAAATAGAAATTGAATCAAATATATTCTATAATTTTTTACTATATTACTAGTTATTCTTGTTTGTTGATTGACTAAAGAGCCTTGGTAATAATGGTTTGTTTTGATTTACTGTTTGACTTGTTTTATATTTTCCGGATTTCCCTTTAGGTACCTGCCTACAAGCGCCCTTTTTTTTTAGCCTGTTTCTGCACTTATATTAGGTCTTTTTATGTTTAAATAGGATGGTGAGCACAGATAAATACCAGAAGTCTTGTCCAGTGTCCTCTGTAGTCCTGTCACCCTTAAAGCGGCACTGTCACCCCCACCTCCCGAAAAATGAGTATTTCATAAAGATTGAATCTTTATGAAATACTCATATTGACTGTGTTGGAATTTCACTGAAAATCCAACCCAGCCAAGAGATATATACTGAGACAAAGTAGGGACTACTTAGTCTCTGTATAATTCCTAAGCCTAACACTTCTACACATTGGGCAGAGCTACCACCGTCTAGAAGTGTCAATCCCACCAGTGACAGCTGCAGGGAATTGGCTATATCTATGGAGGATCCCTCTGTCCCGCAGGATCCACCATCGACCTCAATACTGTATTCCCCTGCATCAGCAGTGACGTCGGCTCCTGAGACCCGCCGTGAGAAAACCGCAGCGCCCGCGCGGGACTGGTATTGGTAAGTACAACTCAAGTCCTCTTAACACTTAATGATAATCTAACTCTGACATTAATACAATAACTACCCCTTTAACCCAACTACTTTTAACATTCTCTTTAACCAGGCATACATTTACATAGCTACATACCCTCCCTATACTTACAGATTCAAACACACCACCATACAAGCAGAGATATGACCATACATACATATGCAGTTGTAAAATCTGAATACATTTTTTGTAAACTATTCTATTTCTGCAATGTCAGTCTGCTAAATTCATTTAACTCACTTTATCTTACCCTTTTTTTAATTAATTTATTTTTAGGGTGTTTTAGAATTCCTTGCAGACATGCACCTGATATGTAAAGCCAGCCCTGGTGTTACTGTTGATTGTATACTTCATAAACTTGTGTCTCTTATCTGTACTTTCCTTGTTTCCAAGCTAATTAGTTTTATCTTATCGGTTGGGTTCCTAGCTGATAGGCCATATGAGAATGACTTTCTAATTACTTGTGTCCAGGTCTCCCTTTCCCCTAGCAAGTATTACAGGAAACTTTCATTGAAAACATTGTTTTATTTTACAATTTTACTTGTTTTAATTGTGATTTAGGATGTAATTCTGAATCATCCAGTTCCAGTGCAATCAGTGAATGGAGATGTTCAATCCTAAACATGTCCTAATACAGTTCTTTCTTGTTTTTGATGCACAGGTTACAGAGACCCTTAGTGTGTGAGTGGGCACGAGCTTGTGCTGTTGAGGAATGGTCTAGCAGAAAACACAGTACAGATGCCAGAACAAACGCAAGATCCATAAGGGACAACTGGAAATGGGAAGCTACATTGGCCGGAGCCATACTGGGATTAGGATCAGTTTTAATTTATGAAGATCAGAAGAGGAGGGTAAGTATTTTTTTTTTTTTTTAACTATACTTTCCCAGGAGAAGAGGTATGTGGTCAAATATTTGTTCATTTTACCACACATAAAATACCAGTTTTCCTGCCTGCCCTTTATTTCCCCATGTCTCTGTACTAATTACCTTTTCCCATTTTTTTTATCATTCACAGGTGGCAAAGGCTGAGTCTGCCAAATCCTCCGTTGATCATGTTTTTCCACAGTACACCCGAGCAGATGTTAAGCAACATGCCAGCCTTGCTGACAGAGTGTGGGTGACCTATGCTGGAGAAGTGTTTGACATCACAGAATTTGTGGAATTGCACCCTGGTGGCAATCGCATACTGCTGGCTGCTGGAGGAGCACTGGAACCTTTCTGGGCCTTGTATGGTGTTCACAAGAGTGAGCATGTTTTTGAGATCTTGCAAGAATATAAGGTGGGGGAGCTCGTTGCTGAGGAGCAATTAGAGGATGTGGACACCACTGATCCATATTCTCATGACCCTTCTCGACACCCTGTCTACAAAGTTAACAGCCTTAAGCCTTTCAATGCAGAACCCCCCCCTGAGATTTTAACTGACAGCTATGTTACACCAAATGACTTTTTCTTCAAGAGAAATCACCTACCGGTACCAGAGATCAACCCTGATCAGTACGAACTGGTTATAGAAACTCCAAATGGGACAAAAGGGGGTAAGCCACTGCAACTTTCCCTTAGTGATCTGAAAACCAGATTTCCACGACACGAGATTACGGCCACCTTACAGTGTGCAGGAAATCGACGCTCTGAAATGAATGCTGTGAAAACCGTAAAGGGTTTAGATTGGAGTCATGCAGCAATTAGCACAGCTCGTTGGGCAGGTGTACGTCTGAGGGATGTCCTGGAACATGCTGGTTACAGTGAAAATACACCCAATGCCAACCATGTGCAGTTTGAAGGTTTGGACTGTGACTTGACAGGCACAAGCTACGGTGCATCAATTTCCTTTGAGCATGCAATGAGAAAAGATAATGAAGTTCTACTTGCTTATGAAATGAATGGGAACGAGCTGCCACGAGACCATGGCTTTCCTTTGCGGGTAATTGTGCCGGGTGTAGTGGGTGCTCGCAATGTGAAGTGGCTGGGGAGGATAGTAGTGAGTGCAGAAGAAAGCCGTAGCCACTGGCAGCAGAATGACTACAAAGGCTTCAACCCATCAGTGGACTGGGACACAGTGGACTTCTCTACCTCTCCAGCAATACAGGATTTGCCGATACAGTCTGCCATCACTGATCCACATCCTGGACAGAAGGTTACTCCTGATTTTGAGGGGAAACTGACTGTAAAGGGGTATGCATGGAGTGGAGGTGGGAGGGAGGTTGTGAGAGTTGATGTATCCCTTGATGGTGGAAAGACCTGGAAGGTAGCAGAACTTAGTGGAGATAAACAAAAAGCTGGACAGGCTTGGGCATGGAAATTGTGGCAGTTGAGCGTCCCCATGCCTCATAACTGCAAAGACCTCACCATTATCTGCAAGGCTGTGGACAGCAGCTATAATGTGCAGCCAGATACTGTGGCCCCAATATGGAACTTGCGTGGGGTACTGAACAATTCGTGGCACCGTGTGCAGGTCACTGTGGATGCACACTGACCTCTTGTCTTGGATGAATTGACTTTTGTGTGCCAGCATTTAACTTAACTGCATAGAGTCTATTTTAAGCGTGCTACACTAAACTGCAAATTGCAATATTATTTGTGTTAGAGAAAATGATGGCAAACAACCGTATGCAGGTTGCAGTTAATGTACTACAATTTCTGGCGTTACCCGATGACTACCACCATTGAAGGTGACCCCAGCTGTGTAGTTGCTTCATTTTTATTTATAATAATTTTTTTTATTGTGCAGCATGAAGAATGCTGTTATTCAGATCTTCCAAAAGTGACCTGTGTATATGAAGGACTTTGAAAAATATAGGAATTATTTGAGTAACTAACAGGGCTTGTTAGTATCTCTTGCTTTCTCTAACATTTAGAGATCCTATACATGTGTTTTTGTTTTCTTAGTCATATTCTTCTCTTCTAATTAGATGATGTTGGGTAATCTGTTTGACATCCCTTTGAATAAATTTACAAGCCATTATTAATTAATATTATGTTAACCTGCTTGTAGTAACTCCTTGCTATTTTAGTTATTCCCTATTGATTGGAACAGGTACATCTTACTTGTCAACCCAATTTATCTACCCAATAATTATTTACTGCATCAGCACACCCTCTTCCCCAGAATTGTAAAATGTGTATATACTAATAAAAGCTTGCATATTAACATATACAAATAAAACCACTAAAAATGTCGTAACATTTTTTGTTATTTATATCTGGCAAGACTTTAATTTTGTACAGTTTGTACTTGCAGTAAGCTCAAGGCCTTATGATCTAACCTTGTAGTTTGTTTAATATGATCCTTTCATTCTACCTCCTACTAAAAGGACTTATTTTTGAAATAAATGGCCTGCCAGGTAAAGCTTTGCGTAGACTAGGATTATAATGAAAGAAAGATTGTGTTATCTTTAAAGGGAGCCTTCAGGCAATTAAGGTGCAAGATTGCATTGTGCTGAAAGCCGTGCAGTTATCAGGATTGACCGAAACATTACAGCCACTACCTGTTTTTATGCTTTTAATCAATAGTGAATTATAAATACCGTATTTATCGGCGTATAACACGCACCTCAATTTAAGAAGGAAATTTCAGGAAAAAAAACTTAAATTTCAAATAAAGAACTTCTTACCCCCTTCTTACTCCCCCTCTTCAAACCAACCTTTCTTACTCCCCCCCTCCCCCTCTTCTTACTCCCCCCTCCCCTCTTCTTACTTCCCCTCCCCATTCCCCTTACCCCTCCCCTCTTCTTAACCCCCTTTCTTACTCCCCCTCTTCTTAACCCCTTTCTTACTCCCCTCTTCTTAACCCCTTTCTTACTCCCCCCTCCTCTTCTTACTTCCTCCTCCCCCTCTTACCCCTTCTACTCTTCTTACTCCCCCCCTCCCTCTTCTTATTCCCCCTTCTTACCCCCCTCCCCTGTAGCGTGGCCGAGCTGCTCTGCTGTCCGCGGTGCCCGGCCGGAGTGATAGGAAGGTGCACGCTCACGCTACAGGGGAGGGCAGGTGAGTACCAACTGCAGCCGCCTGACCGCTCTTGACAGAATGCTCAGGCGGCTGCAGTATTTAAGGGGCCGTCGTATAACACGCTCCCACAATTTGCTCCCTATTTTCAGGGAGAAAAAGTGCGTGTTATACGCCGATAAATACGGTAAAGAGAAGGGAAGGAAGGAAACGTGTGACATGGGTTAAACCACTCTAGTTTTTGTAATGAGCTTCGAATTTCATCTATACATTGTGCTAGCAGTTTTGCTAAAAAAAAAAAAAAAAAATCTATTGGAAGAAAAAAATGTAAAAATAGTTTTGCTTTTCTCCCATTTGAATGGAACTTGGTCAGCAGATACTCAATGCTGTGGGATTGAGAGACAAAGACGGCAGAAGAGACTTCTCCCTCTGCTTTCCACCCATAGCTAATATAAAGCATGTGCTGTGGTGCCAAAGATAAAAAAATATATATATATCTATATATCTTTGGCGCAACCTTTCCTTGTCTTGTCTGGTTGCTGCCTTCCGGTATTTTGTGTGTTAATTAGTGCTGACGTATCACTTGTTTTTATAAAGCATGTGCTGTGTTTGCTATGGTAACACCCTAGCCGGCCCTGCTAGCGCCAATAATTTGACATCTTACTTGTGAACCTCAAGGCGTCTTTCTCACCCGTAAGCTCTCTGTCGCCTGATCACTTGCAGCCAGTGAGTTAAAACCAGCCCTGTGTTTAGCTCAGGCACTCTTGGCTAATGAGCAGGAGCTTCCAACTCTTCATGCAGGATGTTTGACTACTTACAATGAAGGGATGGGGCACTCCTGGCACCATAACCACTACAGAGCACTACATTTTAAGAAACATGAACACATACACCTACCTTAGAGAATACACACACACACATCTGGATTTGTCCTAGAGAGTCTGGGTATCCTGTCTAATTGCTAGATGTGTCAAAGCTTTCATCTCCTGGTAGTTTTATAAACACCTTTTACCCCAAATCAACCCTTCCTGCTTATAGAGTTAAGAATTACCCTTTGGGACAATGACTTAAAAATAAGGTTTGCACATTTTTTTGCAAATGTCATGTTTCACCAAGCTGTTTGTTAGAGGTACTTATATAACCCAGTCTACTACATCCAGATTTGTTGAGAAATTGTATTTTGATGTGTTTTCTGAAAGTTCATTTACAGACACTTTGAGTGCACCTTCCAGAGAAAATTGTTGCGTTTTACAAGGCAAAATCTCACTTATACAACTTTACTAGACAAATACGGATATGGAACTAGTTTTAGCAGGGATTTATATGAATAAATGTTTAACTGTGCTGATAAGTTAAATTACTCTCCGAGTTTTTATGCTTTATAGAAAGAACACATTTTCCTGCAGTGAGTCTTCCCCATTCAATGACATACCTGACACTTCTCTGCCAATTCTAGCTTTTCCAATTATTTTCAATGGACGTCTAGTGCATGTCTCACAAACTATATTGCTTAGTAGGGCATTATATGTAGTTCAGCCCTCCACAGGAGCTCCATTCCTCACTGTGTGATTGGAACAGCTGACTAAGCTGATGTTCCTGTGTTTATTATTAACACCATTCATAGTTTCACGAATTAAGTTATAGGTGTGGATGCATGCACCTGGCTGGAGCACAAGCTCTGTCACAGAAAGCTGTGACCTTTCTGAAAAGTGAGTACAGGGTGCACATGCCCACAGGTACCCAGTATGGCAGTACATGTATGACCAGGTACCATATTGGAATGAAAGCGTGAGCTGGAAGTGTCTACCATAGCCTTCTGTTTATGTTTTCAGTATCACTTTAAGGTAGATGTACTTGGTGATATCCACTAGTATATGTAATGCAATTTAAAATGAAGGCGACCTGTGCTGAGAGGGTATTTATTTACTCTTTATAGTAATGCCTTGACCAGTGCAGATGCTAAGGGCTAGTAAAGATGTTTTAAAATAATTAAAATTTCATATGGCTCCCCCTGCATCATCTTCCATTATGAAGCACTTAATTGCCTTAAAAATTTAGGTTGCCTACCCCTGCTGTGGGTGCTATAGGATGCATTTCTTCTTATTTAATTTGTTAAAGTGCCTGGAGATCTATGGCGCTGTCCCTCCATTCTGTAGAAACCATTTTGAGCAGTTTAACACTGAATGAGGGTCCCTGGCTTCCCACAGCCCTGGCCCTACTGCAGTTATGGTTGAGATCAATATTACAGTATACAGTTCCTTCAAGCCGTTCTACCCATTCATACCTGCAATGCACTGTGATTGGCTGAATGTGTCAGCTGACTGCTTTCAGCCTATCACAGCTGCCCATCCCTGCTCAGGCTACTGCTCCCTCATTAGCCCAAGCAGTATAGTGGATGGGCTGCTGCCTAGCATTAAACATTAAATACATAGAAACATAGAATGTGACGGCAGATAAGAAGAATTCAGCCCATCTAGTCTGCCCATTTAAAAAAAAAAAATACTCTCATTCGGTCCCTAAATACAATATAAAATACAATTTGAATGTCAACTGCCACCTTTTCTTAGATGAAGCATGGCAGAATGCTTCAGCCATATATATACACCTTGGGTGAGGCAGTGTTTGAAAACTGACCGGATTGTTGTATTGAAAGGTTTTGAGGTGACAATTGTCCTTTAATGTTGAATGGAAGGGCAGTGCCCGGGGACTCCAAACAATACAACTACTTTAGTGAGACAAAGCAGTCATAGTGTCCCTTTAAAAAACTTTGAGATTTAGAAGTACTTCAATGACTATGTTAATGCACATAAAACTCGCAATGGAAGGGCCCGGAGAACACTATGTATTGTGCATTATATACAATATGGAAAAGTGGATTGTAAATGTTCAATTGTTCATTGAAACAGGCAATATGTATCTCAACTAATGATTGCATATGTAATATTATTACTTGCCAATAAAGAATTAAAAAAAGAAAAAAAAAGAAACTTTGATTTGCTAAACTAGTGTCAGGATTCCTAAGAGGCCCAACATGCAGGATGTAAATGAAAAACATATACTGACTTTAAAGTGACCGTTAGAAAGAATGGTTAGGGACAAGCCAGAAATCACATCCTTTTATAGTCTGGTACTTTAAATTTAAAGCCATGCCCCCAAATGTTCAAATTCGGAGGGATTGCAGGGCTGTGACGCCATCAGCGTCGTGACGTCGGCACGCACGACAAAAGGGGTCTGAGCCACAGTGGCCAGCGTTGGAACTGCTGGAGGGAAGTCTGGTTCTGTGGAGAGGTTTCCTCTCCTGCTGAGAGTTTCCAACGTGACTATACGTGACGACTGGGAAATGAACTGAATTAGTGAAGGAATTGCAAACTAAAATAGTCTAACTGTAAAAAAAATAAATCCTTAACTGGCCAAAACTTTGAAAGTCCCTTGTGTAATATCCATAATGCCCTAGTTATTAATCAAATTCCACAAGAGGAGACATTACTGGGAAAAAAAAAAATATATATATATTTTTTTTAGCTTTGCCATGCTAGATTGTACGTTTTGAAAGATACATTAACTTGGGCTTTGAATCTGAACAATCGCTCCTCACACACCTACCAAATTTCAGTTCCATGTTTGGATATTACCAAACCAAATTCTCAATTTTCTGGTGACTGAAAACGTGTAGTATTTATGATGTGTATGTGTGGTATAATAAAAGCAATCTAATCTTTTACTAGTTGTCTCATCATTCATTTTATATGTACCTATGAGTGAAATGTAGAGTGTAAGAGTGTCCGCTATCTGCAGCATAAGGGCTTTAAAAGAATTCCTCATGTACAGTGAATTTAAAAAAAAAAATCATTAAAATGATTAGTTTTATAAAAGAATTGGGGTACAGAAAGGAAAAAAGGGGAGGGGGAGGTAAAAGGTTTGCCAATACATCGATAATAGTATATATTAGTCAGTACATCGACTGGAATCAGTCATCTCTACCATGTCAGATCCATGAGTTTCAACCGTATCGATCAGGTAAGCTGTAAGGCACCTCTTATAGGAGCACTATTTATCAATTTCCTGGAGCAGCTCAGTCACTATTCGCGCTTTGGTTGATCTCCAGGATCTTGCTATCAGTTTCTGTGTGGTCAAAGATATATGCAGTACTAATTTCAGTTTAAATTTAGGTATGTCCGCCGGCGCCACCAAATCCAACAGGAGAAAACATTGGGGTGAGAATGATTGCTTACTTTCTATCAAATTTTCGGTTGTCCGATGCACAGCAGCCCAGAAGTTACTAAAGCCAGTGCACATCCACTAAATGTGGCGATTGGAGCCCTTGGCTTGTCCGCAATGCCAACATTGCTCAGAGGCGGTTGGTACAATTTATGGAGCTTAGTAGGAACAAGATTTTAAAATGACTTAATCCATCTTTTAGGCAAATGGATGATATATTCCCATTGTTTGGGGGGGATCTAGCAGCCTAAATCAGTTTCCCATTGGTTTGCTAATGTGGTAGTATGGAATGAAATGTGTTGTGACAGGAATTTGTAGCACATGGAGATCGATTTACAGGTTGGAGGCAAGGACTGATTTACACACAGTTCCCAAACTGTCAGTGTGGCCGTGGATACCCGAGTTTTATCCTACCCTGAATATTGTCGAGTTAGGAAGGAGCACAATTGAAAAATAGGTGTAATGCAAAGTGCGTGGGATAGCGTACTTGGATTTTAAGGTTTTATATTCTAAGAGGGTATTGAGGTTGAACAGGTGGAACAGATGCGTGGCTCCCTGGGCATGCCACGGTTTAGCATTTAAGGTTAGTATGCAGTAGGAAAACGACCAGATGGTAGTCGCTAGGGATTAGACATGTGCAGTTCGTTTCGTTCCAATTGTAAATTCAGATGGATTTCTGGCAATTCGGATGCTTCAGAAGTGTGGAATTTTGGAAGTGCATAAGTGCTTTGGATTTCTGAAAAGTGGCAAAAGAAGAGAGGGAGGGAAAATTACGTGAATGATGACAGGAATTTTGATCAATAAGCCAATTCCTGGCACTGGGAGCCCTATAGATGTGTAAGTGATTGTGGTGACAGTCCAGGCACCTAATCCTAACCCTAGATGTGTAAGTGGTTGTGGTGGTTAGGGGATAGAAGTAAGGTTAGGGAGCCCTACAGATGTGTAAGTGGTTGTTGTGGCAAAGTGCTTCGGATTTCTTAAAAGTGGCAAAACAAGAGAGGGATGCTTACGAATGTCCGAATTGCCGAATTTCAATAACATCTGTCCCAAACGTCTAAGAGTAGTCAAATGGATGTGGGAGCAGAGGGGAGCGAGGGATGGAATTGTTTGGGCAGCCACAAAATGGTAGAAAATTCATGTTGTATTAGAAGTGACCTCTCCAAATGCACCCACTTTTGTGGAGGGCGCAGCCAGAAAGTGCAGAATAGCAGTAGCTAGCACTGTTTGCTTGGTAGTGTGTCCTTGCATCCGGAAGCGATAATTCCACTAATGTTCACGGCGCATCTAATTATTTCTGAGCTACTCTAGGTCTCCCACCCGCCCAGGCAACGGTGTTAAGGTCTTTTTGAACACTTTTAAAATAAAGAGAAGGGATGGTAATTGGTAGGGTACAAAATAAAGAGGAGTTTCGGCAGAATGGACATCATTTAGAACACCACTATCCGTTCCTTCCATGAAAGAAACAAGGGTCTCCATTTATGTAATATCTGTTGGCATTCAGTCCAAACCTTGACATAATTAGCCGAATAAAGGTCTGCTGGGGTTTTGGTAACTGTGAGTCCCAAGCACTTGATATTGTTTTTTCTCTATTCAAACTGATAACGTTGGAGAGAGACAAGAAGTTGGCCAGGGAGTCCTACACTCATCGCTTGCATTTTAGAGGCATTAGCAAATAATATGACACTTTGCCGTAGTCATAGATTAATTTCATTATGTTGGAGAGAGTGTCTTGGGGATTCGTTACATATAAAAGGATATCATCTCCCGGCAGGGTTGCCCCCTCTCCCCATTACTTTTTGTTCTGACGCTCGAATCTCTCCAGCAGGTGATACGCGAACACCCCTTCATACATGGCGCAAGGGTGGGAGACCAAGAATTCCAAGAAAGACTCTGGATATGCCGATGATGTCCTTCTCACCTTAACGAACCCCATAACTTCCATGCAAGCCCTGATCCATCTCCTCACAATATATAGCACTATCTCTGTATGTTTCCCATGCAAACCTGGATACAACGTTTACATGGGAAAGTCTAGTGCACTCCCAATAACCCTTTCAGCGGCAGACATGACTAAGATCTGGAACTCCTATCACATACACACCTCACTCACTTCTATCAAATACCTAGGTATTAATCTAATGGTCAACGCCTCCTAATTAGATCGACTGAACTACACACCCATGATAAGCACACTCATATCCGACATGGAAAACTGGACAGATAAACCTCTTTCCTGGATTGGAAGAATACACTCCGTAAAAATGAACATCCTCCCTAAAAATTTTATTCCTATTCCAAGCCCTACCTCTTCCCATGTCGAGACAAGATATGGCCCCCCTGCAGAAAGCCATTGACTGATTTATATGGCAAGGCAAACGGCATAGAGTGTCTCATAACATATTATATTGACCAAAAACAAGAGGAGGACTGAAACTGCCTCATTTACAATTTTATTACTTGGCTGCTTAATTAGCACAAATAGCACTTTGGTCATCCGCCAACTCCAGGTTGTATGTAATTGGTGTCAATGGGCAGTGGTCAGCTGTTGTGTGTAGCAAAGTGAGCACCAAACCATCAGGGTGGCATTGATCATGTGATTGCTGGTATCTAACATACCAAGCGTCATTCCTCCATGCCAAAGTAGAGAGGTGATTTTCCCCTGTGTCAGCTCCATGGCCACCCATTATTTTGCGGTTGGATGCGCATGCAGTCTGCCACCCAGAGAAGGTGCATAGCCTGGTAGTAAGTGGCAATAGATGAGAGTCCCGAGCCCCTGGATTATTTAGGGAGAATCACAAATCCGTACCGCATATTGGTTCCAGACAATGCTACAAATAGATGAGGATAAAGACTGGAAAAACGCACTTGGGATTGTCACTGGGATTGTTTGAAACAAATACAAGAGACGGATAGGACATTCATTTTTACGGCGTTGATGTGACCGAACCAGGAGGTTATGGAGGTTTCACCATCGTTTCATGTCAAATTGCAAGGTGGAGAGGATGGGTAGGAAATTCAGTGAATTTTTGCCTATCTGAATTGTTCCCAGTAAATCGTGACTTGATACTTGTTCATGGTTCACCTATATATTCATAAAGTGGCTCAGTCACTTTACATGTTTTGTTTTTAAGTTAAGATTTTTTTGCCCTTCAAATCTATTCCTTCTTGGGTTTTTCTTTTTTTAATTTACCTTAGTTTTTTGTTATACATAAGTAAAATTATGGACATGATCAAAGGGCAGAGCTACAACAAAGTTCCAATTCATTTACTGAGCTTATTTATCCACCATCCATCAGTCAGATTAATTCCTCAGAAGGGCAAACTGCAAACATCATGGACAAAGGACAAATACAAAATTGAAGTGCACAGGATTTGAGTTCCATTGCAAGGGAGAAAAGATAATAAATAAAGGCAATTGGGGTATAATTTGTGGATTTTACTATTAACATGACAAAGTAAGGCAAGTATTATGCTCTTTTATAAAGGACCTGGGGTCATATGTTAACACCTTTTATTATTAATGAAAACCCCTGGCTGTCAATCAAACAGCCAGGGAGATTGGCATCCTGCTTTCATTAGCTCCCCTGCCTCCCCAAGTATACCACCCAGCATGTGGCTTTTGTAAGTCTGGACAAGTGGCAGAGTTTTGAGGGGGCATTGACAGTGATGTAAGCCACATCACAAGCAACACCCACAATAGGCAGGGCTGTAAAAAAAGGGGCTGGCCGGTCTAAAAAAGGGACGGACACGCTACTGACAAGCAGTTTGACCAGCCCCCAGCTATTGACCATGCACTATGGACCACTGCTGAAACACGCCCTACATGGTCGTAATGCCTGATGAAAAGTGCAAGCGTGTTTAATTATGCGCTCGCACAGCGCTGACCGGGGACAATTTCCTGTTGTCCCCAAATGTGTGATGGCACCATAAAATCGAAACTGTCCCACACTGGGAGTCATGCTCTTCTCAGACCAGAATTCTTTATAAAAGTTGTGCAGTGTGTGTCTACCATACATGAGATAGGAGAAACATTATATAGCAAACAAGCCTCATCAATTGAACGCTGCAACATTAAGGCCCAGATCCCCATACCATCTGCAAACAAGCCTCTTCAGTTGAACGCTGCAACATTAAGGCCCAGATCCCCATACCATCTGCAAACAAGCCTCTTCAGTTGATCGCTGCAACATTAAAGGACCACTATAGTGCCAGGAAAACATACTCGTTTTCCTGGCACTATAGTGCCCTGAGGGTGTCCCCACCCTCAGGGTCCCCCTCCCGCCCGGCTCTGGAGAGAGGAAAGGGGTTAAACTTACCTTTATTCCAGCGTCGGGCAGGGAGCTCTCCTCTTCCTCTCCGCCTCCGATCCTCCTCTTCAGCTGAATGCGCATGCGCGGCAGGAGCTGCGCGCGCATTCAGCCAGTCTCATAGGAAAGCATTTACAATGCATTCCTATGGACGCTGGCGTCTTCTCACTGTGATTTTCACAGTGAGAAGAACGCAAGCGCCTCTAGCGGCTGTCAATGAGACAGCCATTAGAGGATTTGGAGGCTGGATTAACCCATTTATAAACATAGCAGTTTCTCTGAAACTGCTATGTTTATAAAAAAAGGGGTTAATCCTAGAGGGACCTGGCACCCAGACCACTTCATTAAGCTGAAGTGGTCTAGGTGCCTAGAGTGGTCCTTTAAGGCCCAGATCCCCATACCATCTGCAAACAAGCCTCTTCAATTGAACGCTGCAACATTAAGGCCCAGATCCCCATACCATCTGCAAACAAGCTGTGAGGAACTGACTCTGCTGGGTTTCAAACCCTGGTTTACATGGTGCTAAACCTCTTCCTTACCAGTACACCAGCCTGCCTTTTGCAAAATTACCTGAGATCTGATACCATTGCTTGTAGAGTCAAGGTTATCAGTGACAACTCTCTTCAGCTGTGTCTGGTCAGGTGTCTGGTTCTTGGCCTATAAAAGCCACTTCCTGTCTCTGTACCTTTGCCAGATTATTGTGGTTCCTGTTTCTCCTTCCTGTTGCTGAATTTGGACTGTTTTGACTTTACTGCTTCTCCTTCCCACTGACCTCGGCTTGCCTCACTACGATTATCATCTTTCTGTTCCAGTCTCCCATCTCTGCTTAAGACCAGAAGGCCACTCAAGGCTCAGGGGCTCAACCACCTGGGTAACGAGTGGCTACCTCTGGCAGAAAATATTGCTGATCTGGCTACTGGACTCCAAAACTTTGTAACATCAATATCATTACAAGCCTCTTCAGTTGAACGCTGCAACATTAAGGCCCAGATCCACATACCATCTGCAAACAAGCCTCTTCAATTGAACGCTGCAACATTAAGCCATCACTTCCAAATTTCCCCTGCAACCTCGTCTCAAATCCTCACTGTATCCTTTAGATTGTAAGCTCACAGGCTATCTAGCGTATAAAAGAGCTTAAATGGGTAGATCTCAGCTTACAGGCAGGGCCCTCTCTACTTTTTGTATGTGTCTGTGTATATTGTACGTCCTCCACTAATTGTACAGCGCTGCGGAATCTGTTGGCGCTTTATAAATACCAGTAGTGAATGAATAAATAAACTTCGCTTTCAAAGCTCAGCAAATTATCCAATTAATATTTTTTCTTGCTGACAAACTTGTTATCAATGGATCTAATCAAATCGGTTATTAACTACTTTTCCCATTTATCATCAGTGCAACTGTTTCAGGTTAAAGTAGCGCTGAGTATAGCAATTACTTATGATTTATACCTTAATTTGTTCTGTATTAAAGTGGAATAAAAATGTTAATAAGTCAACTATTATGGTTTCAGATGTTGATGGCAATTCTGGAAAATTGTGTGACTCACCTTGGGCATAAGTTAACACACAAACAGACACTGGAAACAATATCCTTTAACACTTTGCATGCCAGTGTAATGAGAAATAATGGATGGAAAACCTCTGAGAAAATATTTAAAAAAAAACAAAAAACATCCTTAGTTGCATCCATGGGAGAATTTGCAATGGACTGCATTCTCTGCAGAGAAGCCCTTATCACGATGAGATGCCTGTTCACAGGATTTAAATATACATTACAGAGTATCTTTCTTCTCTTGGCATTGTATCATAATTCCAAGAAAATGGATAATATCAAGTATCCTCGAGCCCTGCTTTATAGAGTGTAAAGGTGAGACTTTCAAAGCACTGACGTGGTTATTAACTAAATTGTGAACTAAAATTTACAATATTTTAGCCTCAGTTTACATGTCTATTGATTTGGTTTTGATTTGCGTGCACCCCTTTTACCCACAATGGAGGTTTATGATTTATCTACACGACACAAGACTCCTTTAGGAATATGCTTGTAGAAGCATGAGCTAGATTTATTGATGACAATTGCAACCATTTAGAGATGATCCCGTACTATTCTGGCAAGAAACATCTAAAGCTTTACTGTGAAGCCAGTTATTGCTTATTTATCTAATTATAAAAAACAGTGGAACACTAAATATAACCAAGTATGTAGTAACGTCAGCAGAGGGAATTGCTCTGAGATGGGTTTAAGAAAAGGATTAGGAGTTGGATTATAGGTACCATTAAAGGACCACTCTAGGCACCAGACCACCAGGTCCCTCTAGGATTAATCCTTTTTTTTTTATAAACATAGCAGTTTCAGAGAAACTGCTATGTTTATAAATGGGTTAATCCAGCCTCTAAAGCCTCTAGTGGCTGTCTCATTGACAGCCGCTAGAGGCGTTTGCGTGCTTCTCACTGTGAAAATCACAGTGAGAAGATGCCAGCATCCATAGGAAAGCATTATGAATGCTTTCCCATGAGACTGGCTGAATGAGCGCACAGCTCCTGCCGCGCATGCGCATTCAGCCGAAGAGGAGGATCAGAGGCGGAGAGCTCCCCGCCCGATGCTGGAAAAAAGGTAAGTTTAACCCCTTTCCTCTCCCCAGAGCCCGGCGGGAGTGGGACCCTGAGGGTGAGGGCACCCTCAGGGCACTACAGTGCCAGGAAAACGAGTATGTTTTCCTGGCACTATAGTGGTCCTTTAAGGGTTGAATTAGAAGAAATAGTATACATGTGGGGTATCACTGTTTTCAAGATCAGTAGCAGAATACAAACAAAAGCTTGGTTTGTAAGGACATGCAGGTGCCTTGCTAGGAGTGTGCTTGCAAGTCCTAAAGATTGTAATCATCATTAAACACACTATGCATGCTAATGCCGACTGAAAATAAGGACAAAATTAACATATGTTGGACAAAATAATAAAATGTCACCTTTAATGAAAATATAATTATCCAAATAATTGTGGTCTTGGCAGAGCACAACATAATCATAAACATCTTGAACAATTATGACAGAAATAATACAAATAATATTCACACTAGTTATTTGCAGAAGCAAAATAATTGCAATACATACCCTCCCCCCCATCCTTTCCCATTAATCCCAATGATTTTATCTATTATATTTGTAATGATGTTTTGATTTGATCTATGTGTCTTACTTATCAGACTTAAATACAAATATTTTTTGTCATTTGCTATAATCATTCACATTGTGAATTCTTGACAGTCTCCTTGAATGCAAGTTTATTGAAAACTTAAGTTTTGAATGTGTAATTTGATTTGTTTTTGTGTATGTTTTTAATTGAATATTTTTTTAAATTTGTTCAATTCTTTTTAATTCTTTATTTTTGATTTGGCTAAATGATACAGCTTGTCATCATACTCGTATAATAAAGAAACACATCATCATGTCTGGGTGGTACAACACCGAGTTAAAAAAAAAATATTTTTTTATATCTAAAAAATATCTAAAAAAAAAAACCAAAAAACCTCAAAGCAAAACTATTACAGCCAAAAGGCTAGAGGGAGAGGATCTGTGCACTATGCAAAAATCGCATACACCATCTCATCTGCCTATTGTACGTTAAATACCAACTGGTTATATACCAAGTATAGTGTTTTCTCAAGGTCATTAAAATCACGAAAATGCCAAGCTATTTCTACAGCTAACCTATTTACTGTCAACACACTAAGAAACAAAGCTTTTCCTGTCACAGTTTGTTTACTTAATAGAACCTAAAACATGTTCTGTGTTCTTCAGGCCCGTTTTACCAGCATGATCGTCCCTCAGGCAAAGCAGTGCACTGGGTCCGGCCTACACAGCCCTAAACAGGAATACAAATTTAAATTATTGATAAAATATGGTCTATATTTATGGGTACCTCTGAAAAAAAATCAGTAATTAAACATTATAAAACATGCTGTACAACAGAGACTAGCCCACAAAAATGTTTGGACCATATAACATAAGCCTTGAAGTTAAAAATCAAGAAATTCCACCTAAAAATGGTCCTCAGTTGATAAATCATAGGAGATGGCACAGTACGAAATTACTTTGAATTATTTATTATTAATCAAGTGTTTAACAAAAACATTTGCGAAATATGTTTGCAGAGAATTGCTTCATAATTGGCCAAAAGATCGTTTTCGTCAAGGTCAAGATATGTATTCACAAAAGCAAGATCACATGTACAGATAACAGCTGAAACTGTGATGATTAGTTCTAAATGTTTTAATAAAGAGGGTATGAAGGTTGTGAATATCTCTTCTGGAATAATATACTGAAAAGTTGGAAAGCCTACAGGGTCCGTATGCTGATGGTGCCCCCAGGCAACTGCCCAGTGTGCCCATGCGTTAAGATGGCTTTTTGGTTCTTCTCTAAAGTTGCAGTTGTGGGGAACTAACAGAGGTATTTCAGATGTTTGGTCAAAATAGCTGCAAAAATAATAATAATACAAGTCTACTGCTGTCAATTTTTGTATTTTAGGCTGCATTTCTTAAATGAACAAATAATACATCATTGATGCTAGTTTTAAGACTCATTAATTTTCATTTCCCTGATATTTAGCATGTCAGCACTGAATAGTCACAAAGTGTGTGGGATCTTGGGATTGTGAACTAACTGGCCTTACTGGAAGGTCTTTATCAAAGATTGTTTTCTTATCTTATCACTCTCATTGTGATTAAGCTAATTGTACTGATCATTTGTCACATGTACTGTTGTGCTAAATGTGTGCTGACGTTATCTGTCATATAAATAAAGAATCCAAAAAGCAAAAAACACCTGAGACTATAATGGAGAATTTTTCCAAATCAGCTATTTAACAATTTTGTCCCAGTACGTCCCCCCGCTTCCCTGGCCCCACCATCTCTGTAGCACATTGCCACTCTCCGGTCTAATGACCCAGATTCCAAAATCCTGAGCCTCTTTGAAACTACCTGCAAAGTCCAGGCACCTTAGGGCAGCACCATCTCATCCGCCGTGTTTACCACCTCTCCTCCCAGTCAGAGACCATTGCACTCCGGGACCATGTTGGGTACCATCAGTCCTGGGGGCCTGGCATGGCTGAAACAAACTCGATGATATTTTCAGTGCTGCAGTGCGGGACCTCATTTCCCAGTATGAGTGTGAAGATTTCAATCAGGATGCATGGGCGTCCTGTACCGGAGAGCTGATATTCCACAGGTTATCTCCACTTAAGATCCCAGTGAGGTTCAGGAACAAGTATTATAAATCCATAAGGCAAGGCTTTCAGCAGGCAAAACAATCCAACAATATCCCAACCTCAATCCCAATGACTGGACGACACACAGCATCAGGAGCAGAACTGAACTTTTAATCACTCAACCTTCTTTTTTTTTTTTATAATTCTTTATTTTATTTGTGCAAGGTGATAACACATCAGGCTTACAATGCCACAACAGCCGGAGTAAGCAGTTATGCAGACATAGTGTTATAGTAGTTAGGCATTAGAAGATACTGCACAGTTTTTTAAAAAAATTCTTTATTTTGGTTTGACGAAGCAGATGGTAAACATGTTAGCGGTTACATTTATGTATGTGACAGCGCAGTGTCATACAATGGTTTACAAAATGCAGATGACAGTTGTTAGTTTAGGCATGTTATATACATGGTGTTTTCTGCTGGTGTCTTCGTCTGAGATTTTTGTTTTGGTGGCAAGCTATATTAACTATATACAATAGCTTTGGTGTGAAGGGTTAGGCTTAGGGAGTAGAGTGTCAGTCCCCCGCCTCTTGGGGCGTGCGGCCGCACACCCGCTCCCTTCTGTGTTCTGCGGAATGTTGGCAGGTTTTTATTTGTCTTTCCTCTCCTGCCGACTTTCAGGTCTAGGGTGCTTGCCTTCAATAGATAGGTAGAAAAGAAAAGAGTTGGAGACAAGTACATGTGTGTAAGTATCAGTTTGATATGGTTTCCGGATGAACGAACAATGGGGGTTATCTATCCCTCTAAGCTGCGTTTTATGCTCCGGGTTTGACCCTGCACCCGTCCGGTAGTGGTGCTGCTGCCACCTGTCCGAGTGTTGGTGTGGTATTTGGTGTTGGGTGAGTCCCAATCCCGCTATGTTAGGATTGCGTGGATGCTGCCCTGCACCCCGAGTCGTTATTCTAAGTATCGTACTGCTCCCATAGTTCCCAGACTTTTTGGAACTTAGGCACAGTGTTTCACACCTAGGAGGTTAATTTATCCATTATGTAATTGTCTCGCATTTTTGTCTTAACCAGGGACATATGTGGGAGGTCTGGACATGACCACTGTTGTGCTAGGGACCTTCGGGCCGCTAAATAGATCATGTTAAGGAGTCTTTGTTCGTGTCTGGGGAGGTCCTTTGTGGGTCTTGAGAGTAGGCACGCCCATGGGTCTAACCCCAGTCGCTTTTGTAGGATTTGGGAGCTGAGCTCCACAACTTTGCGCCAGTATTCCGTGACCCTCGGGCATCCCCACCACATATGTATATACATGCCTCGTCCCCCACACCCATGCCAGCAACCGTCTGTGGGACTCAGTCCCATGTGTTTCTGCTTCACTGGGGTCATGTACCATCGAAATAGTGTTTTATAAGATTGCTCTTGGAGTGTCACACATATTGTGGTTTTGCTGCATGCTTCCCAGATATCTTGCCACTCCGTTCCCTCTAGTACCTCCCCCAGGTCGGCTTCCCACTGGTTGTTGTATCGTAGTGCGCCCTCCCTGTCCGGAGTCCCGCTGAGGTGGTTGTACAGTAGTGTGATGAGTTTAGTTTGTGTTGTCTCATTGTAACATAGTTTTTCAAAGAAGGTTAGTGGTGTCAGGGCCGCCTTCCGTATTTCAGGGTTTTGAGCGAAGTCTCGGATCTGTATGTACCTAAAGTAATCTCTTGTTCGTAAGGTGGCTTTGGTGGTTAGGTGTTCGTATGTGACTACGTTTTGGTTCACATATAGGTGTACGTATCTTTGGAGCCCCGTGGCCTCTATGCCCTTATAGTCTCTCGCCTGCATTCCGGGGGGGAAGGCCCTATTTCTAAAAACTGGTGTCATGGGGGGAAAATGGGAGCTGAGGGCGTACTTCGTTTTGGTTTGGTCCCATATTTGTATGGAGTTGAGTATGGCTGGATTCGCTGTTCTTAATATGGCTCTTTGCGTTCTGGGTGCCCATATGAAAAATTGTGGGAGATCCTGACCCGTCATCAGTGACTCCAGATCTACCCATCGTCTCCTGTCTGGAGGCGTGTGCCACTGTATCACCTGCATCAGCTGTGCAGCTAGATAATAGGTGTATACATTGGGTAGTCCCAGCCCCCCCCTGGGTTTTGGTCTGGACATGAGGGTGCGCGCTATTCTTGGGCGTTTGTTGTGCCAGATGAAGGCATCAATCGCTCTTTGTATGCCTGTCAGGTCCCTCCGGGTTACTCTGATCGGGAGTGCTTGAAAGAGGAACAGTATCCTCGGCAGCACATTCATTTTTATAGAGTTTACTCTCCCCATCCAGGAAATGGGCCTGTCCGTCCACTGCTCTAGTTCCGCGAGGAGGGTTCGGAACAGGGGTGTATAGTTGCGTGCAAATAAGGAGGATGTGGAGCAGAACAAGACACACAGAGAAGATAGAAATTAAGAAAAATCGTCTCCACTCCGTGCAGTTTAAGTGCAGCGCTAATTTAAAATAAAGTCAACTCACCCTGTTGATATTGATCGGGTGGTTCAACTTAGTTGGACATATATGAAAAAACACAAGTAGAGAATATATAGTGCAGGGTTGTTTTAAACCACAAACTGGAGTTATCTACTTAATGGCACACTCACATGGTAACGAGCCTTTTTAGAAACAGGCTCTAAACTTTCCGGCTGGTATGTTATAGGGTAACATACACCCCCTTTTTCTGGATCTCTTCCCCGGTCACAATTCCAATATGTATGATGGAGAAAGGAAAGAAAAGGATCTCTAAGTGAGATCTGCAGGTTTAAAAACACAATTCTAGATAATATAAAATTGCTCACCTGACTCAGAGCCTTCCAAACTGGCTCTGAGTTTCAAAAGTTTGTGTCAAATAAAGGGTGACAACCCCCTCTTGAACCTGGGCAACACCAAAGACTGGATCCACTTGTTAAACGGAAATGCACAAAAAAGTGCTATTTAATATAATTAAAATTAAAATTGAATGCAATTCAAATGCAAATAAAAATACATGAAATACAAATAAAAGAAAAATATATAAAAAGTCAGTTTGGATCCTTCCGAAACACGTTTCACCTATCCTGTAGGCTTTTTCAATCGGCATGGTGTTGCTTCCTGGTTCCAGTATTTACATCATCAGTATGAGACTTCCTCTTCAACTCTGATCCTATCAGAATGCGTCCTTGTGTCTGACTCCTCCCCTTCACAGCTTAACTCAATGATATTACTGCATTGAATCATCTACAGATGGGCAGGACTACATCTCCAAAAATGCATTGCGGCCGCACTGTTTGGTCACTTCCGGTACGGCAGAAATGACAATCCCATCATACTTAACAATACTATAGCGAATTTCGCTCAAAGTCAAAGGAGGGAGGAGAGAAAGATAATATAACATCAATGAATAAAAAGTTATTAAATCAGGCTAATGTAAAATAATGAAGAGATGTGACTCCAAACTTCACCAATATATATGTATGATACCTCACTATATATAAAAAAAAATAAAAAAAAAATTATTAAATATGGATCTGACACAGATATAATAAGCCTTTTGACTAAGTGTAGGTTTTAACAGGGATCTAATAGGTCACTTCTAACCTGAATTTGATCTGGCAGAGGCACAGTGGGTCACAAGAAATGGTACAACTCAAAGTCCACATTGAGACCATGCGGGACCAGAGTACCCAAATCAAAGATCCACCGCATCTCCGCCTGACCCAATTTCTTTATTATGTCATCACCCCTCCAATTGGGGTGGACTTTTTGAATAGCAAAAAAAGTCAAGAATTGTGGATCGCAACCGTGATGTTTCTTAAAATGAGACGAAACACTATGTTGCATAAATCCTTTCTTGATATTGCGAACGTGTTCGTTTATCCTTATATATAATGGACGTTTTGTTCTTCCTACATAGTATAAATTACATGTACACTGAAGTACATATATGACTTGCTTAGTATAACACGTAATCATATTTTTTATCTTATATTTCTTGTTCCCCTGAGGATGTAAAAAGGTGGTCACGCTTCTCTTGCTACTCCCTGTCCGTCTGCACGATATACATAGCCCACATCCAAAGAAGCCGTCTTTGTGTAAAAAGGTTTTTGGCTTATTGTCATTTTTTATATGGTTTTTAACTAGTTTTGATGCCAGATTTGGGGCTCCCCTATAAATGACTTTTGGCTGTTCTGGTAATAAATTATACAATATGGGATCAGCCCTCAATATTGGCCAAAATTTTGTAATAATTCGTCTAACTTGTTTGCTCTTCGAGTTAAAGTTACATAGGAAGGGAATATTTTGATTTGTATTGGCATTTTTGCTCTTATACTCCAAAAGTTTTTGTCTTTCCTGAGATTTTATTTCTTCTATTGTACTTTGCAAGATATTATTGTATCCCTTTTCTAAGAAGCGGCTTTTCAATTTATTTGCTTGAACATTATATGTTGTTACATCAGTACAGTTTCTTCGTATCCGAAGGAACTGTGACTTTGGGATGTTTAAAAGCCACGGTGAGAAATGGCAGCTTTGTAAATCTATAATTATTTACATCTACCAACTTGAAGTGGGTTTTTGTTTTTATAATGCCTTCTTCGATGTAAATTGTCAAATCCAAAAAATTCACACTCTGTCTACTGTACTCTGCTACCAAATTGATTCCCCAATTATTAAAATTTAAATATCCCAGAAACAGTTGAAGAGTCTCCTCTGGACCGTCCCAAATAAAGAAAATATCGTCTATGTAACGACGATAGGAAACGAGGTTTGCACTCCAGTCCGCGTTATCCAAAATTAAGACATGCTCCCATAGAGCCATAAAAAGATTCGCATAACTGGGTGCAAACCTCGTTCCCATCGCCGTACCGACTATTTGTAAATAAAAGTCGTTGGAAAACCAGAAAAAGTTGTTACATAATATAAGGTGTATGCCTTGAATAATAAAATCTATTTGATCTTGATGGTACAATTCAGACTGTTCTAAGTGGAATCTTACTGCCTCCTCTCCTCTATTATGAGGAATAACCGTGTAAAGAGAGCTCACATCAGCCGTAACTAATATGTAGCTCTCCTTCCAGGTCACATCTCGTAGAGTCTGAAGTATGGTTATGGTGTCCTTGAGGTGACTTGGGGTTTGTTGGACAAGGGGTTGGAGGCAGTGGTCTATATACTCCGATAGTCTACTGGAAATTGAATTGATTCCAGAGACTATCGGACGTCCTGGTGGGGCAACAGGATGTTTGTGGATCTTTGGGAGGTGGTAGAGCACTGGGACTCTTGGATGTTGGATGTCAAAATTCAGGAGTTTCTTTGGGGCTGGTAGAGACAAAGGGATCCTTAATGATCAAGAATATAGTTATTTAAACATCCAACATCCAAGAGTCCCAGTTTTTTTTTTTTTTTTTTTATATATAGTGAGGTATCATACATATATATTGGTGAAGTTTGGAGTCACATCTCTTCATTATTTTACATTAGCCTGATTTAATAACTTTTTATTCATTGATGTTATATTATCTTTCTCTCCTCCCTCCTTTGACTTTGAGCGAAATTCGCTATAGTATTGTTAAGTATGATGGGATTGTCATTTCTGCCGTACCGGAAGTGACCAAACAGTGCGGCCGCAATGCATTTTTGGAGATGTAGTCCTGCCCATCTGCAGATGATTCAATGCAGTAATATCATTGAGTTAAGCTGTGAAGGGGAGGAGTCAGACACAAGGACGCATTCTGATAGGATCAGAGTTGAAGAGGAAGTCTCATACTGATGATGTAAATACTGGAACCAGGAAGCAACACCATGCCGATTGAAAAAGCCTACAGGATAGGTGAAACGTGTTTCGGAAGGATCCAAACTGACTTTTTATATATTTTTCTTTTATTTGTATTTCATGTATTTTTATTTGCATTTGAATTGCATTCAATTTTAATTTTAATTATATTAAATAGCACTTTTTTGTGCATTTCCGTTTAACAAGTGGATCCAGTCTTTGGTGTTGCCCAGGTTCAAGAGGGGGTTGTCACCCTTTATTTGACACAAACTTTTGAAACTCAGAGCCAGTTTGGAAGGCTCTGAGTCAGGTGAGCAATTTTATATTATCTAGAATTGTGTTTTTAAACCTGCAGATCTCACTTAGAGATCCTTTTCTTTCCTTTCTCATCATACATATTGGAATTGTGACCGGGGAAGAGATCCAGAAAAAGGGGGTGTATGTTACCCTATAACATACCAGCCGGAAAGTTTAGAGCCTGTTTCTAAAAAGGCTCGTTACCATGTGAGTGTGCCATTAAGTAGATAACTCCAGTTTGTGGTTTAAAACAACCCTGCACTATATATTCTCTACTTGTGTTTTTTCATATATGTCCAACTAAGTTGAACCACCCGATCAATATCAACAGGGTGAGTTGACTTTATTTTAAATTAGCGCTGCACTTAAACTGCACGGAGTGGAGACGATTTTTCTTAATTTCTATCTTCTCTGTGTGTCTTGTTCTGCTTTTCAAACAGTGGGTGATTTTTGGAGCATCCACAAAGTGTTCTAGCTGCTACTGTCTAAAATTACCACCAAATAATAAGCGCCTGTAATTCACACATTTGTTTTTTCCTTGCAAATAAGGAGGATGTGTTCGCTGTTAGTCGTACCCCTAGATACATGAGTTCGTCGGTGGTTATCGTAAGGTGATAAGTGTCGCGTATGTGGGTTAGTTCCGGCGGCTCCAGGTGGAAGGGCATTGCCACGGATTTGGAGTAGTTAATTTTGTACCCTGCTATATTTCCAAATCGCTCCAGTACAAGCGATAGATAGTGGAGAGAGTGCCTCGGCTCCCGGAGTGTCAGCATGACATCATCGGCATATGCCGAGACCGTGAAAGGTGTGCCCCCTATCTTGACGCCCTTGATGTGCGGGTGCTGCTGGATGGCTTGTAGTAGCGGTTCTAAGGTTAAGGCGAAGAGCAGAGGGGATAATGGGCAACCCTGTCTGGTGCCGTTTCCCAGGGTGAAGGGTGTTTTTTGTGCCCCTGTGATGAGTATTTGTGCCCTCAGATCGGTGTATAATGCTTGTATGGCTGTTGTAAAGGTCTCTGG